CTGCAGGGGTCAGTGGCCCGCAGCTTCGGCTGTACTGACCATTGTTGTTGGCTTCGTAGTAATTGTGGTTAAAACTCAAACGTACGCGGGAAGAATGATTTGGTATTGGACTATCATTCGTTCGCCGTGGAGTGCGTTTCATACCGAGTGCTACAGCCCAAATTATAGCAGAGATTATAGGTAGGCCTCTCATCTCACCAAGGTGGAAGTTATGACTTACATGAATTTGTTCATTGGTACCGGCGGAATAAGGAAGGCTATTCCAATGGGGCGTTGATTGGCGCTTATATTAATACGTGTGTTAAGAGCACCGTGATGTTGAGCCATCAAGGCAGGGAATCACGTAAAACAATTTGAGACTTTTGTCATATGAATCCTCCGCCTCCGTTTATGATAATTCTATTTGCTCCTCATTACTTTCTTCGGAAATAATTCTCTACAAACACCAGAACAGACATATATAAACTGATAAAATTAAACTCCAAAATTCTCTTTCTTCCCTTATTACTGCTTACCTTGAAACAAAAAATGTGGCAAAGCATTGCAATCAAACTAGGGAGGTAGATATACATATTACAATTAGAAAAAAAAATAAATAAAAGTAGAGAAAATAGAACCTACAATGCTAAAAATTAAGCTGAAGCAATAACTGAGTCGTCGCGAATACCGAGCGTGTACTGTATATGGACGATAGGGCAGATTTCTTATAAATGTACTGTAAAACTTCAAATATTATAAAATTGATATAGTATATATATATATTAATGATCTCAATAATGAGAAGAACAGCTTCCATGTTGTCCTGGCAAATAACATTTTAATTTTAAACGGAATACAACTGCCATAGACATAAAAGATATTGTATTTACAATTCAAAATTAAGTGCAATAAAATTGCAGTAGAAATCAAGCAAAAGTAACCTTAAATGTATGAAACTCAATTGCAGAACTTAATTCATTTTCTATAGCTTCGAAGTCTCGACCCATATTGTGAACCAGGCAAAAGTCAACTTAGATAAGACCAGTTAATGGTTGCAATTGATTGACTTACCATGAAGCTCCTATTTATGAATATATTATATAGATAATATATAGATCTAATATATAACATAATATATTCAAATAAAATATATTAGATTTAACCAATTTGTGAAAAGATTATATATGTCAAGTGTTTAAATCTAAAGTTAACTGGTTCTCTTGTTTTTATAAAAAATCTTTGACTCCATTATCAATCTTGCTTTACCGCTTCTACTGTTCAAGTGCCTATAGTCACAGAGACTTTCCTGCAGTGTCCTGAATTCAGTGTTATAGACGTGTTTTTCACTGATATATCATTTTCCCTTATAACGACAGAAGTATGCAGAGGAAATCGATTTCGTAATTTGCGAAATAATTTTATAAAATTTTATTTTATAAAATTTTATATAGTTCATACTTTATTCGGATACCTTAGCGCTTGCCAATTCATAAGATTTTCATAGAAACTTACATTGAATACTTCTAGTGCTAATTTTTATCATTTTGTGTTAATGTTCATATTTAGTTATGATGAATTACATAAAGAATATAAATTTTGTCGGTCGAGAGGGTTTTGTGGCAACTGACTAGTGACCCCATAGTAATTCTCATAAGCAAATGGCAATTCCTTATCTGATATGCAAGTCGATATAGTCGTTAATATTAATGGATAATTATTTTAAACAGTACTGAATAACAACAACAACAAATTTTATTTATTTGATAGTTGAATTTTTAGATGACCATACACCCATACTGAGTATTTTATATACCCATCATCAGTGGTCTTGTTTTCACAAATAAATATGATATCTTTCGTATATAATCGTTATTTTTTAATAACGTTGAAAGTATAGTCGTCAAAAACTTTCTAACCATCCCAACGATGTACAGTTCTAACAGTAATCAATGTGTACTTCTTTTTGACCCCATTCACCGTTATTATTTTCACAGAATTGATAGGAGGAAAGACGCGAATAAACATTAGGCTTAATACGCTCAATGACGCCAATTTCGTCTACAGATACAAAATATTGTGCCATAACGTTAAACATCTGCCCGGAGAATAGTCACTTCAAAAAATAAATTAAATAGATTACAGGATGTTATATGAGACCACTTTGTCTAAAACCTCTCACGATATCAAAACGCATGTAATAAAGCATGAATATAGTACCGTACTTTGACGAATACGGGTACTTCTCAACGTTTTCCTGTAATCTGCAAGAATAAAACTTTATTTTTCTGAAGACATATTTAGACTATGAAATTAATATTTTTCTCTTTGTACAATATTTTTCAACAAATTTGTAAACGTATAAAAGAAAATTATTGATAGCTTATCTGCGTATGTGAAACAAAGAGAAATAAAAAAAAAATATCTTCTATTGACTAACATCCGAAATTTATAAATTTTGCAGATATCGATATTTACAATACAGTAAGCAGAGGACAAAGGGACTGAAAGCTTAAAGGTACCACTTTGGAGTGGCTGCCAATAATATTTAGAGTACAATATTACTTAGAGAATATTCTGAGCGGCATTAGAAACAAGGTTTTCTTCGTGAATATTACAGGATTGAAGGATCACATACAGTGATTTCTAAATTAACCAACATACTACGTTTAAGGATAAACTTTGGACGATTCCATAAGTCACCAGCTCATAATTAATACAGCAGAATTTTAAATAAACGTAGGGTCTTAGTTTGGAAGATTGAGTTTATTTTCAGTAGACCCTCGTCCAGTCAGTTTAAGTTTTTTTACAATGATCATACTATCATTTCAAAAACATACATTCTTAAACTGCAATCCAAAAAGATTTATAAGGCTCCCAGACACTCTTCATCCCTCTCATTCTTAATGAATTCTTTCTTATAAGGAAAGATTGACCGAATCGTATTCTATAACGATGCTGTATTCTAATTTAAAATTTTAAATCTTCAAATACTTATGCATAACTAATACTTTTTGATTAATTATATTACAAATAAAATAACCTATTACGAAAATATAAATTTAAGTAGTCTATTATATTATGAAATATGTATTAATATTATAATAAATAAAAATGAGTTCATAAATTTAAAAATTATGTGTGAGTAATAAAACAAAATAAATTTATTCTCCATTGAGATGTTAAAGAGATTACCACTCTAGTTTCTTTGTAGAAAGGTAATTGATTCATTATGTTGACTATAAGTCCACGTTATACAGCCAACATTTTAAAATCAAAGATTAACACTGAAAACCCAAAGCTAATTCGTGATTTAAATAAATTTATTGTTAATAAGATTGCTTAGTCTGATGAAGTGATAAACAGTAATCCAGTCAAGGCGTAAAGAGGGGTTTTGAAGATACCTCGCAGTTAATAGAGAGTAAAAGTGCTCTAGTTCAACTAGCTTCGACATAATAAGATGTGGAGTTTACAAGTTTACAATATAGCATTTTATATCACAGAAACGTTTGGTGGATTATTGGTTCAATTCATACCAGCGGCAACTTGGCATTTGAAAATCTTTTGCATTGTTTACATCGATTCTAAACTGTGTCTGCGAAAAAATTGAATTTAATAATAAACATTTTCGTGCGATTATTTTTCATGATTTTCGAGGCAGATTATCCGGAAAGATAATCTATCAACTTAGTTCGATATTTCGTGATGTCACACCACTGTAAAACTTAGCGACTGTAAAGCTCTGGTTCAATGAGTTCCACCGTGATCGCCGTTTTTCCACAACAAATTTCGTGAACGTTGTCCAAGAACAGCTGCTATACCAGAAAACATCGATGCAGTGACAGAAATGGGATGGGTCGGCATGTTATATACCGAAATATAGAGGGGTCCTTCGGTATTAGTGGGACTAGCACACATTTAATTTTACATATATATTAAGATGTCCCAAAGATATGTACCCATCGGATTCTTCATAATTTGTTAATCGACCAATAGAAGGCACGAGTTGATTGCTGCAAGGAAATAGTGAAAAAATATGGCCGAGGTGACTGAAAACATGTTTATGCATCATGACAAGTCTACCTAGTCCACAGTTTGAGTCTTTTAAACTGAACAGAACTCGAGAAAAGTTGTCCTCGGACGGAGCAACTTCAAGCACACAAACACAGTTTTTTCAGAAGAACCGGTCATATCGCAATTGAACCACTTGAATTTATCAATTGACATAAAATGGTCAATTCTGGTTTGTTGTACAACCATTTGCTTGCCGGATATCTTTGGAGAATTGGGCCAACCGTTGAAGGACTATCAGCCTGCACCACGACAAAGCGAGATCCCACACATCACCTCAAATAAAAGAATTGTTGAGCACTCAAAACATCGAATGTCATTCGTCTTACAGTCCCGACTAAGCACCCAATAAATTCTTCTTGTTCCCAAGCATTGAAGAAAAACACGTGGGGAGCGTTATTCTACGCCCGAACAGGCTGTTGAGACATACAAAATCCTGCTTTTGGAGATACCAACCTCAGAGTGACAAAACTGTTTCGAAAATTGGTTCAATCGGATGCAAAAAGGTATTGATAATCATGAAGAATATATCGAAAGACAATTAAACCATTTTCACTGATTAACCACTGTGGTTAACGTGTTATGCGCTAGACGCAAAAGGTAGCAATCATATAATCATATAATCATAATTCTTGCCGTCCCACTTCTATCAGAAAGTGATTTAAGTCGTCAAGTTGTCGTCGAAATTAAGGTGTAATATCTTTGGATTTCCCTATTCTATCAGAAATTGATTAAAGTCGTCAAGTTGCCGTTGGTGTGAATAGACCCATTTATTTAATTTTTGTTCTATTGATTTTAAAGACTGATTTAGCTATATGACTTTAATTTTTTTTCGTTTATTTCATATCGCAGTAAACAGGAAAGTCTCATTTTACTAAAACCCTAGCTGTGTGGTTGGTAATCATTATTCTTTGGCACAGATCTAATAAAACTTAAAAATATGGATGTTGAAGTTAATACCAGTAAGTTAATTTTATTTTGATTTTTTTGTTTGGAACACAGTTAAATCATTGATATGTTTTTAGTTTCTTTACAATTAACGGATTTAAATGAAGATTGCTTACTGCAGATATTCAATATGCTAAGTTTAGAAGATCAAATAAAAGTATCCAAAGTATGTACTCACTTTTTTGTGGTTTGCAAAAACGTATGGCGCAGAAATAAAAAATATCTGACGTTAGACTTTTCACAATGGAATGCCATGCTTCCACAAACCGGGGATTGTCAATATTTTTTAAATATCATGCAACCATACATAAAGGAATTTAAACATGATTTTGATGGAATCTATCAAATTCCGAATGAGCTAAAAAAATTTGTTGCAAAAGGTTTCCACAGTGTCGAACGTTGTGTTATATCAAGGGACGGTTACAACTCTCTCCAATATATAAGTATAATTGGTATGACCTTTATATATGAATTAGCCAAGCTGTTTCCAAACGTAAAGTATTTGCGCATCTGTGATGATATAACCGGGCAGTACCTCACATCTTTCCGCAGTTTAGAGGAATTGCATTTATACGAAAAAGAAGACAAGATCTTTGAATTGTATAATGATCATCTCGCCAACATTTGCATTGAGCTCAAAATGTTAAGGGTCCTCGACATACGCAACTTTAATGTGAGCGAATTACTACTAACGCATATTGATTGTTGTAACAACTTAGAGGTTTTGAAACTAAATCGTAACACCCTAGTCCCTGTGGTTCATAATATTTTACAACTACCAAAGCTAAAAACAGTTGTCGTACTATTTGATTTTAATATAAATTGTACTTCCATAGAGCATATAGATACGTTCAATTTTAAAGTTTTTCCAACTGTGGAGTTTTTTCATATAATAAACTCAGCAAGTAATCGCATCATTGGTATGAGCATGGATCATTATTATATGAACTTGATAGAAAATTGGGATGAAAATTTGAAAATATTTGATTATTGCAAACTAGAACACTTAGCACTTTGTGGATATCATTTTGATGATGTCCGATTGGAAAAGTACGCGAACATGAAAAATTTGAAGTCGCTCTGGTTCCGCATGTCCACAAGCGTGTCGAAATCTAATTTATTACGGTTCATTGAGTTTTGTCCTCAGTTGAGAGAGATTGATATTACCTGTTGTTGCGATTTAAATAGTAGTTTTTTATATGAAGCAATGGATCTCATTAAGAAACTTAAGCGTAAACCAATAACTTTGTACTATCAATTAAGTGGATTACAAGATGAAATTGAAATAATAGTAAGTATATACTGTGATAAGATTATTGTAAAAAATAAATGATATGACTTGAACATTTCTTTGTATTTTAAGAATCCTAAGTTTTGGAGTGAGCAGCAATACATTAATTGCATTTCTGGTTCACCAGAAAATAATGACTACGCCGAGAGGAGTTTCCATTTTGATTTTGAGTAATTATCAATAATTTTGATTAAGTATAATTATTTTATTTTGAGAACAATTTTTTTATAAATTATTAATAAATTACATAAACATATATGTCTTTAATATTTTCAGGAGTCTGGAACTCGAAACAAGTCATAAAGATACAGTGCAAGAAATAGAAAATGACAATAAAATTGAAACAACTCAATGTCAACTTAGTGACTCTAACGAAAATGTTTGAAATATTTTAAATATTAATTACAATTAATACAAAATTCATACAAGAGAAAATTAAAATATACCTTTATATGAACACTGATCAAAGTGAAAACTATAGAATTATTATTATTATTCATAATTATTGTTCTGAATTATTTAATTTCTAAATAAAAACTACATTGTTTCCAATGACAAGAAATATATTTCGAATAAAAAAAAGAGGTTATAGTCAATTGATTATTAAAACAAAACTAAGGGTAGGGTTCTTTTGTCCCTTAGTAGAGATTTGGGGGTGTTTCAAGTATTTCTCCATTTTTGACTGAATGTGACATAGCAAGTACATGAGTTATTCCACATTTACGCATACATTGTCCTATTAAAGAAATTTTTAAAGTCTTGACGCATTCCTTTGTAAACGACGTATTGAAATGTTGGAAAAGCGGAGGAGCACCTATATTGGAGTTGCATTTGATATTGTGTGAAAAAAGCAGAGCTTAGTTAAAAGAATGTATTTTATATATCAAACGAATGTATTTTAGCCTAGTTTTTACATATACCTATAAAAATCATTTCGATGTACCTATGTTAGCTTTTCCACTCAAGTTATCATAAAGCTTGCCTTTTTTTATAGAAAATACTGTAGTAACCAATACACTATATATGTATGTACTTAGCAGTAGCGTGACGTTAGTTTTTTGGCTAGGTGAACACAATTTGATCAAAACAGAATTCCAACTATAACATATTCCCCCTACTCCTGAGTTTTGTCCTTTCCACAAGCAAATAGCATACAAGACCATCAAAACAATTTATTTAAATGTTCGCAGCCTGTGATCCACTAGTTTTTATGGTAAATAGCTGTAGGAAAACGTCGACTTACCACCACAGTTTTCGACATTTTTACATCAGGTACCAAATTCCACATATCTGGAGTTGGTCTATTCATTTTATGAATTAAAATGAATCTTTTTTTCAAAAGATCGTTTAAGAAAAGATATCTGAATCAAATCTTTAATCACACATTTATCCATTTCTAAATATTATTTTTCACTTCAAATTTCTTTAATTTTTTTCTTTACTTTTATATTTGCTAGTATAAAATTACAATAATGGCTTTATTTTGGGTTTATTTTCAACCTCAACATAAGAGTAAGACACTGTCATGCATTCATTTACTCTTTTACTTTGTATTTACTATGAGCGGTTCATTTTTTTTTTTAACCATTTGCCCATATAAAACGGCAACCGTGACTTTGATTATATTTGCACGCTTTTTATGAACTTGGGGTTCAATTTGGTCGATTGAACCTCTCGTCAAATGTAAAGCGATTTTCACTCAGTCAATTCTATTCTCTTTTGTATTTACTTTGCATAACATTGGAGGTTCACTTTTTTATTGAACCTCTCGCACGCATTAATTTAAGAGTTATGATTATTTTACGTACAAATATGTACGTAATATGCAGGGCGTGTTTTCTCTATTATTTTTATATTTGTTTGTATGTTTTGTGTTGTGTATTCAATATTGAACATAGTCCCAATGTGAATGTTATTTCATTTGCATGCTTTGTAAGCAGCGCGGTGCAGTTTTTATTCTGAACCTTAGTATATTTTAATAGGAATGTGTTTTCTCTTATATTAATTATAAGTAATGTTGGGTGTAACTAACATATGTGTGATTTTGTTTGTATTGTACGTTTTGTGTTTATGTTTGGAACAGCTATTATAAAAAATGTTAAGTAACAAAATAGCGAGATTATTTACCTAATAAAAAAAAAGATCTAAAAAGGAAGCTTTGTTAAGGTGTTCAGTGAACACTCTGAGCCATTTGACGCCTCGCCTCTGGTACATAGAAATATGAATATATTGATTTATCACTAACTGATCTTGTTTTGTTATTTGTTGTATTTATAATTTTTTAAGAAAATTATTTTTAAATTTTATTATTGTAGTCCATCTTTTGCAGATAAGAGTTTTCCATTACAATGAATAGTCAAACTCTTTTGGAAACTCTTTATTAATAATTCATTAATTATTGATTTCACACAATCTTTTTGGCTTCCTTTATGATTTCGCTGTATAATGGATTTACGAATCCAAATTAAGTTGAAAGTCATATCCACAGTTCACGTTCTATTGTTAGAGAGGTTTCTGGTCTAGTAATAAGGGATTAATATATAACAAGATTCATACACTTTTATCGTCTTTCACGTTAAAAGATTTGAAGTAAAAAAATATATTCGTGAAAAAACAAGTATATGTTATAATTCGAAAATTAAATGATATCTTTTTTTATTTATAACATAAATTATTTAAATTTTATGTGATATCAGGAATTTTTTAAAATGATTTGGGAATCACTGGATAGTTACAAAAGCTTCTTTTTAGATTGGTCTGTGTGCTTTATGGTATTAAATGTCATGGAAGGAAACACTTTTTCGAAATTAAATAAAGAAATCTTTCTGAGGACTACCGCAAAAGGATGAAAAGAGCTTTGGAGCAGTATGAATAGCTGGTGCGTGTCTTGACTAAACTGGAAACGAAGACTTGCAAAGCTTAAAGCTCTGCACTTTAAGTATCCTTCAATAAAATCAACCCTGTTTCTTGCGCATTTTGTATAAAGCACATTGCCATAACAATAGAAAAACAAGTTTTCTTTGACTTTGGAAAAAATACAAATAAAATATGTTTAAAAAGTAAAATTATATTTCATATTAAATGTAATTATTTTTATTGAAGTTTTTGTAATTTTACATTTTTATAATTTTTTATTTATGCGTTTTTTAATTAACACAACATTACGTCTTGAAATAATTTGGAGTGAAGTAGAGTGTGTAGGTGGGAACTAAAATGGAAACCGAAAACTGGAGAGAATTTTTGGACAGCATCGAAAAAAATTGTGAGACCGCAATAAAGGAAAACCATATCAAAGTACTAGACTACGCTTTGACCTTGCCGAAAAAGTTGCGTAATCGTGTATCTGCAATTATCCCATATAAATATAAGGACTTTGATAAGTATGCTTTTTTCATAGAACCAATTAAAAAGCAAGTTGACTCTGATGATGAAGCAGAGGAATATAGCAGCGATTCTGATAAACGACAAAAAGTAATTTTATTATATATTTTTTGAAGGTATATCTTGTCCACAATAAGAATTATTTTAATCACAAAATAGGCGTCATTTACTGAAAGCGAGTGTTCTGAAGTTGAATTCTTAGAAGAAAATCATAAAGGTTTCACACTAGTTTTGGAAACGCCACAACAGGTAGAGGAAACTCAATCGAAGCAGTCAGTAAACTGGCAAACAACATATCTAAATCAGCAACGTAAGGATCGCATTAAATGGAATACAAAAATATATGATATGGAAATACCGTTATTAGAGAAGACTCTGGATGAGCAGGCTGTGGAATTAATGGATGCGGTGAGTGTACACTTTTCATAACTAATAATACACTGATAACGACAAAAGCAATAATAATAATATACACTTTCTCTAATAGGCGGCAGAGCGTTTTTGTGATTGGTTAAATTCTATTGGCACTCCTAACCTAGAAACCGCACTGACGAAGGAAAACTTAAAGACACTTTTCGCCATTGAAGCAGACAAAACATTTTTAGCCACGATACAAACCAATCCAAAGCACATAAAAGCGTTGCCGAAAACTGTTGCCACCAAATTAAATTTACCAGAGGTGGGTAATGCAGTGCATCTTAGCTCAGACTTACTCACATTTGACAATAATTTATACATTTTTTTTACTTTTCACTGCAGAGCACGCTCGAGTACAAATACAATAAAGCAATTAAGGACCGACTAGAGGAAATACCAGAGAAATATTCTTCTGTTGCGTTTGGAAGAACAATACCAGTTTCACAACGACCATGGCTACCTACTACAAGGCGGGAGCCCATCACAACTACATTTCCCGAAGATATTGCTTCTTTCTCAAAGTTATTCAAGGGCATTAATCATCTCAGTACAACCCAAAAATTGGTCGATTTCTATAAGGAGCGTCCTCATTTGGAGAAACCTGCTTATTTGGTAAAGATTGGAGAATTTGAGCGTCAACAAGGAGTTGTCGAAAGGGAGGGTATTCCACTCTACACAAAATTAAAATTAAAGTACTAGGAATGTCGCAGTTTTTTTGGAAAATATCTTGGCATACAACAAAATCCGATGTATCTTTCACTAAATATGGTATAAGCAAAGTCTTGTAGGCTATCGATGCACAATCCTTAATTAAATCAAATTAACTTTGTAAAAGTGGAATAAATTGCATCAAAATTGTACTTAATAAAAATTTTTAATGCAATTACTGGGTTTTAAATATTATGTTCCTCCAAGGCCATAATGATTCACTAACATGTAAGTTGATGTGATATACAAATCATATAAAAATTTAAATAGATTTGCAGGATGTGTATCATAACCTAAATCTAGCGCGTGTTGTGTATGACACAATTCCGATTTCACAGGAAATCGGAATTGCTCTATACGAAGATATTGCTCAATTTTTGAGATATCCGGCTTTAAAGGTGGAAATTCTTATATGGAAACCATCAACAGTAAATAGATGTATCTAATTGTTACATACAATTGAAGAGCAATAATGAAGAATATTGTACTTACTAAGAACTTATTAAAAGAGCACACATTTATTGTAGTATATATGTAAAAGGATGGCAACACTATTTTATTTGTGGAAGCTAGTTGTCGGGAGTTCGAAGTAATATCTCATAAATATTTATACCAATATATACTTATTACGCTTATTTCGATATTATTATATAAAATATTCTACATATATGTAATTAATGTTTGGAAAATATTCTGGTTTTATTTTTTTGAATTTTATACGATATTAACCATGCTAGTCTAACGCCTTATGCAATCTATCTGCCAGTACATCTCTTACTGTGAAGAAAAGGTTTTACCGCCTAAAAAGTCATATTCCAACCGAAAAAATATTAATTAGATAATGCCAGGTCTGGAGAATATGGCGAGTGTAAGGGTGTACCGTTTCTAAGTTGTAGAAGCTTTTGACAGGTTATCAAACTACATTGTGACCGAAAAGTTTTCGGGAAATTTTAAATAAAACGCAAAATTCTTAACCTTCATCAATATTTATTTTATCTCCTTCAAAATATGCTCCATTAGAAGCGATACACAAATGCCAACGTTTCTTCCAATCATAAAAACATTTTTTATAGGCGCTTTCCGGTATGGCTTTGAGTTCCCTCTGCGAATTCTGTTTTACGTCTTCTATGGATTCAAAACGCGTTCCTCTGAGTGGTAATTTGAGGTTGGGAAACAGGAAAAAGTCACACGGTGCAAGATCAGGTGAATACGGTGGCTGTTCGATGGTATTTATTGAATGTTTGGCCTTAAAATCGTTGATAATGTTGAACAAATTGAGGTGAATCGGAACAAGCCGGGCGTTGACACGTCGCATACACAAATTGTCCACCAAAATCAAACGAGCCATCTCACGACCGATGCCTAGCTCTCGTGCTATCTCTCTAACACTCAC